CAAGAATTATTCAAAAAGATTCAAAAAAAATTGGCTGTGAATCTATGATTATAATTACTAAAACCAAACAAGATCAGTCTCAAATGATTATTAAATATACACCTTATTTGAATCATACTCCAGGTAGTGACAATGATATTGAAACACTTAGACTTTCAAAACAAATTCAAAATTACATTGCACAACAAATGCGTGATGGTTTAGATGTTAAAGCAATTAGTCGATTTTTTAGAAAACAAGCATATAATTTAGATAAAATTTGGAATCAACGTAACAATCTAAAAGCAATTCAAATCCATGATCATCTTATTATTAGTGATGATATATATAATATATGAAAAAAAGTAATTAAAGAAGATCAAATTTTGCATGAAATTGAAGAAGAAAGTCTTAATTTATGGTATCGTAAGCTTTTAAACAATGGTGATTTAACTTGTACTATAGCTCAATCAGAAAGTAATAACAATGAAGATAAAGGACAACTTTTAGGTTTTATAATTTCAATTACAAAAGAAATAATCTATAAAGTTAATACAGTTTTATTTGATGCAACACATAGCACTAATAAAAAAAATGATCAACTTTATACTTTTCTTTTACCTGATTTTAAAACCAGAAAAGGATTACCTCTTGTACATCTTATTTCTTCTTGTAAAAATACTACATCTGTGCAATTTTGGTTATATTGTCTTCATATTCAATTGTTATAGAAGGGCCTAGTATCTTTTTTAGTTGACTGTAATTCTGCGCAGATCAAAACTCTCTGAAATATTTTTCTAAAAAGTAGAATTTTTTTGTGTTGGTGCCATGTTCTTAGAGCCTGGCGAGATAACTTAAAAAAGTCTATATTGAAAAAACAAATACAGTATTAAATAATAAATTAAGTACTGAAATAAAAAAAAAAATGAAAGAAGAATTATGTAATGATTTAAAAGAATTAATATATATTGATAATCAAAGAAATGTTGATGAATCTATTAATAATTTTTTAAACAAATGATCAAGTTTGATATCATTTATTTCATATTTTAAAAAATAATAGTTAAATGAATCAAATAATAATTATGGAATTAACAAAACAATGTGGATTAAGGCATATTGACTAGATGTTCCTCATGATAATCTCAATACTACAAATATGTTAGAATCATGACATCAGAAACTTAAATATGATATTTTTGATGGAAAACCTAACTGACATAGAGATGTTCTTATTCATGAATTATATATTAATGAAAATAGTGATGCTTAACAACAATGGAGATTAGCTAAAATTCATACAGGCAGAATGATGCCAGCAGAATGAGAAATTCAAAAATATAAACAACAAGCAAAAATTTAATTCAAAATATAACTGAAATATTAGTTGGTCAATATTAGATAGTTTCATCTGATACAAATTTAGGAACAAATTATTCAGTTAAAATAAATACAGGATTTTAAGATCAATTTGAAAAACAATTTATTTGTACTTATAATGATTTTCAAAGTCAATTACTTTTTTATAAGCATATTTATGCTATTATATTTCACTATTTTTCAAACAATCAAGCTTTTATACAACAATCACAGTTACAATTGTATTTACAATCTCAACAATTACAATCAAAATCTCAATTGCAATTACAATTTAATTCATTACACAAATAGCAACAACTTCTTAATGAAATTCAACAAATGACTGAAAGTTTAATTAATCTTAATACTTATAGTTTACAAATTGTTTGAAACCAGCTATCACAAGTTCTTTAAGAGATTCAAAGTGTAGATAAACTTTGTGCTGGTAATTGGATTAAAGAAAGTAAAAAAATACAACTTCTTTTGCATATGAACATTAAAAAACAAAGAAGATAATGTTACATTAAACAATATCATTTTATATACAATACTTATTCTGCTAATATACTAAAAAAGAAAAATTGTGGGGTGTGGCGACCTAGTGAAGTGGTCAGGTTGTCAACCCCCCAAGTGGTAGGTTGGGTGTTCAAATCCCAT